ACTTGATTTAATTTCTTACGATGGTTCTTGAGAATGGATCAATGATGTATTGAATAGATGTCTTCCCTGAACGACTTCAACTGAGAGGCAGTTTCAGTTTCAACAAGCTGGACATTGTTTTTCTGTGGAGTCTTCCACAAGAAAGACAGAGCTACACACACGAAGGTGCTTGATGTACTCAGTACCTTCTTGGAGATGAACATATTTTCTTTTCCATCTTCATTATATTTTCGTCTCTGCATCGTCGACGATGTCCACTTCTGACTCCGTAATCTTGTCACCCATCCTCTCCAAAAACACAAAGCGAGTGCTGCTTGTATGCTGGATCAGTTGAAATCAGTCTCCGTTCTAGCAAGATCGGCATGCAACTAAAATACTTGACTGAAAATATTCCGAAATAGCTTTTCTGAACGACGAAGTTTGTTCTTCAAAATTAATAATGATGAATAGCACAATCTACTAGCCAGAACGTCCTCTCAAAAGAGATTCTATCTGAAGCCTGCAAGATTTTCGACCACCCTTCGTTTTGGAGAGGAGCCCACACACACCAGACTCGAGCTACAAGTAAACTACTAGTCCATCAGCCAGTGGTGCCAAAGTGAGTCTCCTGTTGCACTTACAAATCAAACACCTGGAACTGACATCAATCGACAGCAAAAGCATCACTGAATCCGACCTGCCTACTTTCCCTGGCGAAACTCTTGCACTCCTTTTGCAGTGCGCCTTGGAAGTTCGACAAATTTCTTCTTCTTCATCAGCCATTACGAGGTTTTCCATCCGTTTTATCAGGACATCCAATGCGTCTTCAGTGAAAAACGTGGAGTTTTGTCAACGTTTGGTGTGGTTTTCCGTGGCGATCGACCTAAAATCGCGAAATAAATCGCCGTCGATTTGAGCAGAGGTGAGTTGGCTTGGAGCACGTACAGATTCAAAAAATATGTGTACATGCGCACCGGGAAGAAGATGAAGATGCTCTCCATTTTCAAATAACTAATTCAAAAAACTACATGACTATTGTACTGCAATTGTTGTAGTTACCGTAAAGTACCGTTGATCCGCCCCCTCTCTAATTCCCGCCCCCTGTCGATTTTCTCCTTGTGAAGCGACTTCGGCGTATACAACGAAATACGATGTTGAACCGACGCATGCACTGCTGTACACAATACTTGCCAATCCAGGATCAAAATGTGCACAATCCAGCACATTGAGTCTGATCCTCTACGTTGTTGTACATCGTACTGCACTTGACAGCCTTGATCTAATTCCCGCCCCCTGCCGAAAACCCAGCTGGGAAGCGACATGGCGTGGGGGCGGATCAACGGTACTTTACGGTACTTGTTTGCAACTACAATGGTATCAAGTAGATAATCAAGCGAGGTACAGAGGGCCCTATTGATGGCTGATCAAAGCCCAAGGGACCAGCCCGAGGGCATTGATCAGTCATCAAGCCCGACTGTACTCGTACCTCGCTTGACTATGCTTCAGACGATCCCCAACAATTTTTTTGATTTTGAATTCAATCGCTTTATTCTTTGGGTGATCTCGAGTGTGGTAGATAGTACTTCGAAGTAGTACAACTGTAACTGTACTACTACCTGGTTGCAACAAGCTCAAAGCAGCCTTGCCTTTATTTCAACTGTTTGCTGTCAGCATCCAGAGCCATGGCGTTTGCTAGTTGGTCGTAATGGAGAAGAGAACTGCAGGGCATTCACTCGATGTACAACATGCATCGCCGCAGATTCCTTACTTTTAGCTCTCCACGTTCCTTATTTTTCCAGGGATCAGGACCTTCCCGGGGCGATTCCATTCAGGGTGGAAGCGTAGATCACTTTTGCCAAACAGTAAAAACTACGCTTCAAACCTGCTTGACATGACTCGGGGTGCATACTTCGGAAACCCGAAGGTGGATGATGTTCAATACTAGCTCATTGTAATCTTCCTGAAGGTATGTATTCGGATGCTCAATTAAATAGAATAGTGAAAGAGATATGTAATGGAACAACACTCTACAAGTAGGCGAACAACAATTATTTTTATTGTAATTTGAATCCAGGCACACGTGTAATACGGAAACTGCAATGGTTTACACTGCAAATCTTCTCGATTTGCAAGGTTGTTCCCATAATTCACAAAAATCTGAAAGTTCATTCCTGAAACGCGCATGGCACTGATTGGAGATTGGGTTTAGGTCACAACAATGGCTGTCGATGAAATGCCAAAAATGGTCACTTTGTCGGCTTCCTCCTGCAGAGCGTGCAAGTCGTTTACTCTTTTTATTTGCGGATTCGGTGTACAGGGTACCTAAACTCCCCATTGAGGCCAAAATCAAGTATTCGATTTCTAAGTGCAACAGGGTGCTTGAATTTGACGACTTCTGAGTTCTTGGCTGATGGACTATACGTGGAGATCGAGAGTTGATCGAAATCTTTCTTGCTCACTTCTGAAACCTGTGAAGGAAAAAAGTATGCTGATCGCGTGAATGCCCACAGTTGAGTCGTAATATTTTGACGTGGACCCTGTGACCGTTCACACTCACAGAGAAAGTCGCGGTTGTTTGTGACTGGTCATCGGGATTCAAACTGGTGTGTGACTTTATGACTGCTCTTCGGGGATTTGTGACTGTTTGATTGGTCACGGGGATCGTGATCGGTCATCGAGACATGACTGCTCACTGAGTCCTACATATTCACACATGTACATGTACACACGACACAGAGCACCACGCATCATTCGTAGCCCAAGTTCATGCACGCCGGCACATCCGGACCTGAAGAAAAGAGTGCTCAATCACAAGCGGGGTGAGAGCGAACTGCAAATAAGACAACACATAGCACACATAGCACACAGTACGCCGTAGACAGTGTAGCCAGTGTAGCGTGTAGACAGTGTACTTACAGCAGTGTTCAATACACTTCTGGCATCCGTGAGATGCTCAGACTGCGGTAAACCCTTCAACACACAAAACCAAGCAAATACACCATCTCCAGTACTGCCCCCAAATGTGATTGTCAAACACCAACTTCCAAGGCTACACAGTAGAGAAAGAGAGAGAGAGGAAGTTACTGTATTATGGTGATAATGCAGATTGATGGTGCATACAGCTGCTTCGTGCTACCGCTCAAACTATGTTGCTATGATTGCTAGTGCTGTTACTGCATGCTCATGCTTTGCTGCTGGCTACGGTCATGTGCACTGCACATCACGGTAACCATGTCGACCAAGCGACATGGTGCATGCACACGTGGAACTCTATGCGACGTGGCATTCTACGTGACATTCAACATGACACTCTACGTAGCATTCATACGTGGCACTCAACGTGGGTGGCACTCGACGTGGCACGCTAAAGTTTGCCAAGTTATATGTTTCGATCTGTTCTGTGTGTGGATCATTCTTGTCAGACCTTTTTGTTTCACTCACCTACCTCCCATTTCTCATCACTCATTTCCTTTGATAAAGTAAATAAAGGGGTGTTGGCCACACTCATTTTCGGCTACTCAGGGCTCTTGGTCTCCGTCCCTTGGACGTGACTACTATGTCTATACCCTCTTGGCTCCGCCAAGATCCTGCTCCGCAGTGACTACCCGGCCATTATATGTACAAGGCAACGAGCCAACAGCTGTACTACTGTTGCTATGACAACCCTCTATTTGATTGACATGTACTTGGTCCGTTTCATCGCAATTGTCCCTAATCTCCCACACACCTTTTGACAGGTAAAACACAGTCCGATCTCGATATCTAACTCACATTCGTTTGGGAGGTTGTGATGGAAAGATCAAAGGAGAACAGAAAGAAAAAATCATCGTGACTGGCGCCAGTGGCATCGCGATTCGTACGATTTTGATGGGAAAGTGGGGAACTTTTCGCTGCAGTGAATGCACTGCACTGCAGTCTGCAGTGAATGCACACATTCACTGCAGCGAAAAGCCAAGCGCAGCTCAAAGACGGGAACTGTAGCAGGCATTCTTTGCAAGCCTGCAAACTGATGGGAGATGGTGGCAAAGAAGACATTGTCCGACCTGGTAGTGGCAGTACAAGAGTCGTGGTCAGCGTATCCAGCAGAGCGTATGACAGCTGTCTGGAGAGGGATGTGTGCCTGATTCAAAAACATTGTTGAACACAGAGTACTGTAGTGACACACCGGTCACGCTGCCCACATTCCTCCAAGTGCCAAAGTGACAGCCACTACTCTGTTCCTTTCCCATCGCTGCCATACGCCAAGGGGAAAAAGCAAGAGATACTCTACACCAGCAGCTATAGACCAGCGAATGTCAGCTCAAGTGACATCAGCTGGAGTGATACAGAGCCAGAGTCGGATAAAGCAAGAATGCGCTCCGTCGCTGTTTTCTTTAGTACATTTTTTGTAACCTTTATTTCCTTTCTTCGACTTGCTTCACCAGATTCCATCGCTGAATTTTTTCTTGTGGCCGGACAGGAATCCTGTATCATGCTTCTTCACTATGCGTATTGGAAATTTTACAAAGCGGTAAAAAACTCCTGTTCTTAGTTGCGATGGATAAGCGACAATTGCGATGAAACGGACCAAGTATGTAGTACTACGAGGCAAAAAGTCAATGAGTGTTGCAGGGCTACATGATACACACGCAAGCGCGCACGCACACATACACACGAACGAACGAACGCACGCATACACGCACGCACACACACACACACATACCTGTCTGATCTTCAGATTTGTTTCACCATCCAGATTAGCAGTCTCAACATAGCACATTGACTGCGGCTCACTGCAAACAACAAACACACATGCATATACACAGGGTTTCATGTTCTGCGCAAGCAAGGTGCTGTGACTCTCCAGTGCAACCACATACACACACAGCAAGGTGCTGTGACTCTCCAGTGCAACCACATACACACACAGCAAGGCTTGTGACTCTCCAGTGCAACCACATACACACACAGCAAGGCTTGTGACTCTCCAGTGCAACCACATACACACACAGCAAGGCTTGTGACTCTCCAGCGCAACCACATACACACACAGCAAGGCTTGTGACTCTCCAGTGCAACCACATACACACACAGCAAGGCTTGTGACTCTCCAGTGCAACCACATACACACACAGCAAGGCTTGTGACTCTCCAGTGCAACCACATACACACACAGCAAGGCTTGTGACTCTCCAGTGCAACCACATACACACACAGCAAGGCTTGTGACTCTCCAGTGCAACCACATACACACACAGCAAGGCTTGTGACTCTCCAGTGCAACCACATACACACACAGCAAGGCTTGTGACTCTCCAGTGCAACCACATACACACACAGCAAGGCTTGTGACTCTCCAGTGCAACCACATACACACACAGCAAGGCTTGTGACTCTCCAGTGCAACCACATACACACACAGCAAGGTGCTGTGACTCTCCAGTGCAACCACATACACACACAGCAAGGCTTGTGACTCTCCAGCGCAACCACATACACACACAGCAAGGCTTGTGACTCTCCAGCGCAACCACATACACACACAGCAAGGCTTGTGACTCTCCAGTGCAACTACATACACACACAGCAAGGCTTGTGACTCTCCAGTGCAACCACATACACACACAGCAAGGCTTGTGACTCTCCAGTGCAACCACATACACACACAGCAAGGCTTGTGACTCTCCAGTGCAACCACATACACACACAGCAAGGCTTGTGACTCTCCAGTGCAACCACATACACACACAGCAAGGCTTGTGACTCTCCAGTGCAACCACGTGGGTGCAAGGCTTGTGACTCTCCAGTGCAACCACGTGGGTGCAAGGCTTGTGACTCTCCAGTGCAACCACGTGGGTGCAAGGCTTGTGACTCTCCAGTGCAACCACGTGGGTGCAAGGCTTGTGACTCTCCAGTGCAACCACGTGGGTGCAAGGCTTGTGACTCTCCAGTGCAACCACGTGGGTGCAAGGCTTGTGACTCTCCAGTGCAACCACGTGGGTGCAAGGCTTGTGACTCTCCAGTGCAACCACGTGGGTGCAAGGCTTGTGACTCTCCAGTGCAACCACGTGGGTGCAAGGCTTGTGACTCTCCAGTGCAACCACGTGGGTGCAAGGCTTGTGACTCTCCAGTGCAACCACGTGGGTGCAAGGCTTGTGACTCTCCAGTGCAACCACGTGGGTGCAAGGCTTGTGACTCTCCAGTGCAACCATGTGGGTGCAAGGCTTGTGACTCTCCAGTGCAACCACATACACACACAGCAAGGCTTGTGACTCTCCAGTGCAACCACATACACACACAGCAAGGCTTGTGACTCTCCAGTGCAACCACATACACACACAGCAAGGCTTGTGACTCTCCAGTGCAACCACATACACACACAGCAAGGCTTGTGACTCTCCAGTGCAACCACATACACACACAGCAAGGTGCTGTGACTCTCCAGTGCAACCACGTGGGTGCAAGGCTTGTGACTCTCCAGTGCAACCACGTGGGTGCAAGGCTTGTGACTCTCCAGTGCAACCACGTGGGTGCAAGGCTTGTGACTCTCCAGTGCAACCACGTGGGTGCAAGGCTTGTGACTCTCCAGTGCAACCACGTGGGTGCAAGGCTTGTGACTCTCCAGTGCAACCACGTGGGTGCAAGGCTTGTGACTCTCCAATGCAACCACGTGGGTGCAAGGCTTGTGACTCTCCAGCGCAACCACGTGGGTGCAAGGCTTGTGACTCTCCAGCGCAACCACGTGGGTGCAAGGCTTGTGACTCTCCAGCGCAACCACGTGGGTGCAAGGCTTGTGACTCTCCAGCGCAACCACGTGGGTGCAAGGCTTGTGACTCTCCAGTGCAACCACGTGGGTGCAAGGCTTGTGACTCTCCAGCGCAACCACGTGGGTGCAAGGCCTGTGATTCTCCAGCGCAACCACGTGGGTGCAAGGCTTGTGACTCTCCAGCGCAACCACGTGGGTGCAAGGCTTGTGACTCTCCAGTGCAACCACGTGGGTGCAAGGCTTGTGACTCTCCAGTGCAACCACGTGGGTGCAAGGCTTGTGACTCTCCAGCGCAACCACGTGGCTTACACATACACACACAGGGCAAGCTTCTCTTTGGCAGAACAATGAGAGTGAAGTGGACTGTGGTGTGTACTGTAGGGTAAGTCCACGAGTTCAATGACTATCTTCCACGAGTTCAATGACTATCTTCCACGCATTTTATTGCATGGATATCATATGCATTACAAATTTCTCGTGGCAAGTCCATATACAGCAGGCCGTGATGTTTTCCACTGAAGCGAGAATGTCGCTCCCAAAATGTTGGAGGATTTGGATTTTCGCTGAAGCAGTAGTTCCGCTTTTCGCAGTTGCCATGGTATTTTCCGCTCCTGTGACGTCTCTTCAGTGGAACCGCAACTTTTGAGTGCATATGTGACTGGGCTATGAAGTGGACACCTTGTGAGGCTTACTTCTGGGTGTGCTTTCTTCCGAGGATCTCCTCCCTTTTGAGGATCTTCTCACTCCCTTTCGGGGAGCTCTTCCCTTTCGTCAGT